TGGGCAGTGGGGCACTAGATCCTGCCTGTAGTTCCTCAAACTCACTGAGGGGGCTAAGTGGGAGTGAGTTGTGAAGAAGGGTGAGTTTCCCCCCTGCTAAGCTACTATAAAAGGAAGTGGACTGTGCCAGTTTATAGTGTGACTGCAGGCAGAAGCAGGCACATTCCCACAGCTTGGAAAGGGTGTCACATGGGTCTGTATGTGGGCTCCTGGTTGTAAATACACATGGAAAAATAGGGAAAAATGGGGAGAGACTGGGGGGAGGGGTTTCAGGGTTGTATGTCCAGGTGAGGTGCCCTGACAATACTATAGCAAGTGAAAATATCAGTTGAAATTGCAGGACTCAGAGACCCATGGGGACCCAACCAAAAGCCTTTATACATATGTCTTCACAGGTGTCATATCCATCCTCTGCCACCACCTTCTGTCACCTCCAGCCATCCCTGATTACCTCTGCTCCACTCATACCAACCTCAGAGGCCCCCAATGGTCACCACCCTCCATTTCCATATATTACTTACACCTCCCTAAGTACAGAACCCCAAAGGCCTCCAGACAGCTCCAATGTCCACAAGTGCACCCCTGACTCTGTTGGGCCATTTAGTTGCCTGCCCTGCAAGTCTGCCTTTGGACTGCCCTCTCCATTCTCCTTTTGGGTTGTTGTCTGTTAAACCTGTAACCCAAGTTGCCACTAATATTCAGTTGACTAACCCTTGACCCTGTTATGTCAGCTCCGCCTGGTTCCTGCCATTTATGGGCCCTCCACCTAGACTTCCCATGTATCTGCAAATTAGGGCCCCAACATGCTACTGGGCAGTCTTTGACAACAGGAGTCTGTATAAATGTTAGAACTGTGGGGCTGAATTGGTCCATTTCCATAGGTTTTGGGTGCAGCATCAGGGGTCAGCATAGGGATGATTCTACAGATAATGTGGCAGAGGTTGTGAGAGCTGGGTTTACAATAACATGGTTGGGTCAGGTTTTGTGTGATGATAGTTGTTGGATACTAACTATTTACATGGCATGGGATACTGTACTCCACAGAGCCTGTAAGAGGCTAAAAATGGGAAAATCCCATTTCTATAATAATAAATATGGACTTTGATTTTTGTGCCACAACTGCAAGTGTCCACTGAATATGTTGGTGTGCTTGTTTAAGCACTGGTGTAGCCTCACACTCCCAGTCCATCAGTACATGCCGTAATGAGGCTACATATATGGTTAAGGGTGGGGAGTACAATCCTTACAACCAATCACAGGTGCATCATACATGTGAGGAGCCCAGGGAAAAACATGCATACATCTCCATCAGTTTTGATCACAGCAAAATTTATGTAAATAGTATTGGTGAATATAGACATGTCAGTGTTACCTGTCTTCAGTAACTTTCATCATTAATTATGGCAATATTTGCTTCACACTTGATTGAACAATGGAAACCCCCCCTCTGCTCTGACCATCTGCACATCACTGTGGCAGCATTGAGTGTCAAATCCTTGTAACAGAGCAAAATAATGAGCACATAGAAGCTGTTACATAAATGGCCTTTGGGAGTTCATGAGCATCCATGGGTGTCCATGAGCACCCATGGGTACCCATGAGAGTCCATGAATGCCCATGGGAGTCCATGAATATCCATGGGATTCCATGAACATCCACAGAAGCCCATGACCACCCATGGGAGGCTGTAAAGTCATGTAATTTGTCAGAAAATCCATGGAACTCCATGAAAATCCATGAAAATCCATGATATTTCATGAAATTTCAACAAATCTCATGGAATCCCATGGAATCCCATGAATTTTCATGGATTTTCATGAAATTCCATGGAGCCCATGGAGCATCTATCACTTTTCATGAGTTACTGGATGGCATGCACATGCTAAATGGCTTTACAGGTACTCTGTATTGCCTGCGCTTTCTGTCAGAGACCAGATTCGAGACGAAGGAATGTCTCCGTAACGGAGGGCTTCGGCCTCAGCAACTTCTGCCAAGAGCGCTGTGCCTAGTGACACGTCCGTGCCCTAACTTACTGACTGGCAATTAGAACCTAGGGGGGTAACTCTAGTTGATTTTTTTACTGGGGCGTAACCTATGTACAAGTGGGATATATATATGGTTACAGCGGAGATGGTTCTGCAATTGGCGGAGCCGAACGGAGCGGAGCTAATGGGGTTTAACCATTAGCCGACTGAATATTACCGACAAGTTGGTTTGCGGGGTTAGCGGAAAGGCAGGCGATAACCCAGAAACGGAAAGGAGGGATAAGCCTGAAGGTGGACTCTGCAGGGCAGGCGAGTGTATTGCCCAGCGGAGGTGGGGGTGCGCTAGCGGACGTCGGAGCTGTCCGGAAGTCTTCGGGGCTCCGTACTTAGGGAGGCGTAGGTAATAAATTGAAATGAGGGGGTGGTGACCATCGAGGGGTACCGAGAGGATTGCGGAATAATGGGGGCTCCGAGGTTAGTGAGGGAGGAGCGGAGTTGGAACGGAGGGATCAGAGGGACCGGAAGTCGATGGCCAGGAATGGATATGACACTTTCCATCAATGGCATTATGTGGCTCAATATCGTTGAAGGATCATTTGATGCCGAGCGCTTCACCAATTTTATTGAGGGCCTCCAGCAAATGAACGACTTCCCACTCCCCTCCTCTGTTATCGTAATGGACAATTGTAGGATTCATAATGGTGAGGATATTTGAGCAATGATAGAAGCCAGGTATGCCCTTGTCAGGGGATGGACCCCGGGTCCCCATGACCCCTCTCTACAGTCCACAGTCTAGCCTGTAAACACAGCCCATCTCAGGGCATAACTACTGTGGGTAAGAAAGTGGAATAAGATAGAAGGCAAGTAAGATACACTTGCCTACTGTGGGGAAGAAAGTGAGAAGAAGGTTAACTTCTCACTTTCCCACAGTGGCCCAATATGGCGAAAACTTCCGGGGATACCCGGAAGTCACATGAGGAGTGGGAACCGGGCCTGGAGCATGCGGCATGTGGAGCATGCAGGGCGGAGCATCCATGCAGGTCCGGGTCTGGTGTCAGGGACTCATCCAGGGTCGAGGGAGCCCAGGTGTAGTGTCCAGGGCTGAGAGCCTGGGGGGGGCAGATTGGGCATGTGTACTGACAGGCCCGATGTGGGACAGTGGTCCCTGGCCACTTAGACTGAAGTGGAAAGTTGAGAAGAAGGCTACTTCTTCAGTTCCCACTTCAGGTTCGTTTATATACATATGGCTTAGATCACATGACAGGTGCCAGGTCACCCTCGCACACAGCCGTAACCACCTGGGTGTCTCCATGGGAGATCCCAAGGGCATCCAGTGCAGGCATGTGTACTGGGCACAGCAGGAAGTCGCCCGAGGTGCCTGGGTTGGGTGTATGGTGGGCATGCTGCAGATGGGTCAATGGTACATTGATACAAAGAAGGTCATCCATGTAGAATAAAGAGAAAATAAAGAAGAAGTAAGATAGGAGGAAAGTGAGGAAGCATGGATGAGGAGAGAGGAAGGGAAAAGGGGGAGGAGGTGAGGAGGGGTGGACAGCGGGGTACCGGGTCAGGTTGGGCCAGGTGGAGCTGGGTCAGGTGGGTGTGCCCTGACAGCCTAAAAGATATTGTTCAGTGGCAAACACTTGGTTTATCTTTCCCCTTATAGCCCAGATTTCAGCCCAATCAAACCCTCCTTTGGCTGGGTCAAATCCCTTGCACAGTGTGATGAGATGTTATGTCAAGATATGTCCATCCAAAACAATGCCAATGCCTTGGTTGCTGTGGCTACCTGCCTTCATCAGTACATTTCCTCTATCACGCCTGAGCTTGCCACCTCATGGTTCAAGCACTGTAATTTCAGGTATGGAATGTTGGGGTATATACAGTGCATAGCTGCAACAAGGAAAAGTTTTGGGATGGGTGTGAATGAGCATGAGATGATCAACAAATGACAGAATGGTCACCAGTGAAGTAGAGATTTTGAATGCGCTGGACCTCCTCGTGTGTGCACCTCATAATGCACAAAGCCAATCCAAATGGCAGATTTGGTTCAAAAAGATTATGGAGTACAGCTGGTGTGAAGTACTCCATCTCAAATAAATCAGCGACTGTTTGGAAAGCTTGCTGCCGGAATTGGTGGCCATAGACTGAGGTAAGATTGGAATCCACATCCATGCAATCAAGGGTTTCTAGCAGAGTGTTGACTGTCATGTAGCATAGTTGGACACCTAAAGCTATGATGACACAGAAATGATATAGAAATTGAGGGGATAAGGTTGTATTGTTAGAGATGAGGTGCGGATTCAGACGACTCTGGAGTGGAATCAGAGACTTACATAGCATGGAAGGACCTTGGCCTCAGCGACTCAAGTGGAGCGCTGTGCCATTGCTGTTTGTCCATTTGGTCCTTAATTTCACAGTAGGCGAGCAGGAAGTCTCTAGGGGGCATTTCAGGTCGATTTCGGACTGAGCCCAAAACAAGTATGTACAAGCACCAATATATATAATGGAGGGGGAAAAAGCACAAGGAAACAAAGGGGATCCGAATCGGAACGAAGACATCCGAACAGGAACAAAGGGAAGACAGAAGCGGAGTGGTACTGAAGGTCATAAGGCAGAACCTGTGATACGTCCGAAAGGAGGTAGGGAGGGCGAGGCCCAGAGGGGCAGGAGGATGAGGAGAAGTGGGGATGATGACTAACTGGCTAGAATGGGAAGAAGCAGCAGTCCAAATAGGGATGAGGGGAAAACACGAGAGATACATTACAAGCGGCGAAAGTGCCGAAGATGATCCATGAAGCTCGGAGGTTGCGGAGCTTACAGAGGTGGGGTTGAAAGTCCGAGGAATATTGGCAATGGTGTTTACGTAGTATGAGGTCACCAATGCAATGGACTAAGACCAAGGTGGAGTCAAAGTCCGAGGTAGGGACTATGATGGAGGCTCGGAGCAAGGTACGAGCAGTGCCCGAGTATGAAGCACAGGACAGCGGTGGAAGGTCGTAACTTGGCAGGAGGTCAGCGGAAGAGTACTAGAGGGAAGAGAGAGGAGAGAGGGAAGAGGGAAGGAGTGGCGGAAAGGAGTGTTGTCAGGTCTGAAGGTGAGTATTGGAGTGGATGGGAGAAGCGTAGGAGGATGACGGAAGGGTGGAGGTGTTGTGAGGGAGGAGCGGAGGAGTAGGAGGAGGAGTAGTAGGAGGGTGGCGAGAGGGGCAGTGTTCGGTCTGAGGTGAGTATCGGAGTGGACAGAGATAGGGGAGGAGAGGGAAGGAGGAGTGGAGGTGGCATGGGAGGTACAAGGAGGTGTGTTGCCAGGACCGAAGGTGAGTATCGGAACAGACAGCGGTAGGGTAGGACTCCGGAGGTGGGGAAGGAGGAGGTCCGGAAGTCGGGTCGGGATTGGGTATGCATGGATATGACTGAGTGCAGAAGAGATCCACTTATACTCTGTATTGGTGGCACATCAGAGCTCAGCTGGGCAACTGGACTTCTGATCACCATGCTTGATGATGGTTGCCTGGTAACAGATGGTGCATGATGTGTCGGGTGATTTGCCAATGGGACATTCAGCACCTTTGGTGGAGAGTTGAGATCGGCTGCCCCTAGTTCCTACAAAATGATGAGAATGATATAAGGAATGTGCAAGGTCTGAAAGTTACCATTGACATTGCCCACAGCCTCAGTTGCTCAATAGTGAGAAAGTAATGGGTTCCATCCCTCAGAATGAGGCAAAGCTTATTCCTGTGCTTGTTACACTTCCCATACTTGTTCTGGAGCTGGTCAAAATACTGGTGCATAAGAGTTGGGGCTTCTGAGTCCTCAACATCAGCCTTCAATCGGTGGCCTAATGGTGACTTTGCTGATTTTTTGTTGGTGTGAGCAATAGACTACATTTAGGGTATGTAAGTATATATATTGCAGTATTATTACTAGACTACTCACCTTTTTTTCCGATGCTGGGCACATGTCCTGAATGGAAATAGCCAATGGTTTGGGAGTGGCTCCTGGCTGGCTGCTTTTCTTTCCGTTTTTCTTCAAAAGCTCCACTTGCTTCTGTAGTTCATATGCAACCGTTGTTTGCATGAGCTGGTATTCCATCTCACTCGCAACACTGTGGAACTTTGTGTCATGGCTGTGCATTCTGGCCCATTAGCCGCCCATCCTGATGCTGCCCGAGCCCATTCCTGCTATGCGAGCGTGAGCACAAGCCCCGACCTCAGCCCTATCCTCCCTGAGGACTCCCTGCTCACTCCCCTGCTTGCCCCTAGGCTCCCCTGCACCTGGCCGACTCCCCCACAGCCACACCAACCTCCTGCCCTGAATCTGCCTCTGGCACCATGCCCAGTGCAACTCCACTACCCTGCCCACTTGGCCCCTACAGGGCCACTACCATTCCCACACCCGACTCCGGCCCAACTCCGAGTCTGGTGCCACTATGATACCATCACCACTATCACAGCCCTACACTCCTTCCTTTATTTATCTGTTATTGTTTGTTTTGACCCTCGGTCATTGCCGGCTGAAGTGCAGCCAACCCCACTCCTTGTTCCCTTTTGCTTCCGGACCCTTCGGCCTTCGGCCCAGGTCTGCTTCCATTCATTCATTCTCCCTATATATATCCTGTATGATACCTTAGCTCTAATATCGATTTGACCATGACCCCTTAAGTCCTGACCCCAGTAAGTCTGAAATGAGGGCCAAGAGACAGCTAGGGGGCACAGCACTCCTTTAGAGTCGCTGAGGCCAAATGCCCTACCCTTGGGCCTTGTTCACGGCATCATGGCCATCGTGGCCTATAGCGGCCCGCAACAGCGACCTTCGGTGCCGACCCTGGACCAGTGTCTAACACTTTGCCACTTTGGTCTCGGTGCTAAGCTTATAGCCAAGTCTCAACTCGGATTCTTCAAACTCCATTGCCATTGCAATGTGGTATTGGAACAGGACCCAGGAACCAGCAATCTTTATTGGGATGGGTTTTGTCATGTTGCCAAGATCGACATCGAAGTTGATAACCCGGTCTGTCACCGTTCAGCTTTTTGGAAAGGAGTCTGATGCATGTACTTACCTTCAATTATGTCCTCCTGAATAGTTCCACTGATGTCATCATCCAAGTCGGACATGCTGGGTGCTAAATCAAGTTCGCTCAGTGTATCATTGTCATCTTCAATCGTCTTGAATGTGACATGTCAGGCTGGCTCTGGAGACTCTGGCCTCCAGTGGGACAGGGAACTTCAGTGGGCAGTTCCGTTTGTGTTTTGGGTACAACAGGCAGAGCTGCCGGAATCTCATTCATGTGCTTCTGTTTAGCGCTGACCTTTGGCTTTGCTGTCAGGGCCTTTGCCTTTGCTGTCAAGCCCTTTGTCTGAAGATCAAGCACTGGTATGCTGGAAGGGTTGTTGTCAGGGCAATAGCCCCGAACCCCGAGTCACATGTAAATTAGATACATATAGTCACGTGGGCAAGCGGGAACCTCCGGGTAACCGCTTACACACCACCGTAAAATACACTATCTTGTATCACTTACGGCCTTGTGTGCTGAGCCACCCTAAGACCTCACAGTTGTTGACTTCTGCAATATCAGAATTGATGTGTTGCAGCTCAAGATCGATTGGCTGTGGCGTCACCTCACTCTCATTTCCAAGTGCACATGTCCCACAGGTTGGCGGCAGGACATCTAGTGGCTGACTATTTCGTGCTGTTTGATGTGTAACTCGGCATGAAATCACCTTTGGAACTGGTGGGATGGAAGTCATGGAAGTTGCAACATCATAAGCAGGTGGGTCTGCCGGTTTGACTTGCTTTTTTCTTGCCATGGTTCAGCAGAGACAATTCCTTGCAGATGTGAGCCTTTCAAACTCAGAGATGGGACTGGCTAAAAAGAAACTGTATAGTTTCCTCACGCTTCCATGCAAATTGCAAACAATGGCAGTGTGTCAGGGACAGCTCCAAAAGCGGCAAGGTCCTGGCGCGAGGGACTCGATGGGACAGACATCAGCTATGCGTAGCGGCGGTCCTGTTGTGGGGTGAGCATCCCGGACCACTTAGTCTGAAGTGGGAAGTTGCATTATCATTAAGGGGAGAAGCTGCAGTACTTACCTGAAGTGGGAAGTTGAGAAGAAGGCTGCTTCTTCTGTTCCCACTCCAGGCACTATTATATACATGCGGTTGGGGTCACGTGGGAGGAGCCATGTCATCTCCGCACACAGCCGCACTCCCCTGGGTATCTCTGCAGGAGATCCCGGAGGTGTGCCACTCTGTGAGCAGGAATGCGTGTGGCAGGTGCAGCGATCAGGGGAGCGGGGTTAGGTGTGTAGTAATACATAGAGAAGGGGAAGTTAACCATGGAACGGAAATAGAAAGAAAGAAGGAAAGGGGAAAGAAGAAACAGGGAGTGATAGCGGCAGAGCAGAGTAGGGCAGTGTGTTGTGGCGTGGGGTCAGGTGGGGTGTGCCCTGACACAGTGCAACAATTGGGCCATCGCAAAGTGCCAAGCTGCACACAATCCCCCAATTCCAAAAATTTGTTCATTCCAGCATCATTCTACACTGTTTGTATGATTTATGGATGATTGCAATGATACATGCACTTCTACTATCGTGTTGCAAGTCATTGTCATATCCCGGAATCCCGACCCTGCGCACTCCCACCACACCACACCTTCCTAACAACTTCACCATCCCCTGCACCATGCCTCCCCACTCCCCAAGTCACCTTCCCTCCTGACTGTCTCAGCTCCGGTCTGGTTGCAGCACACCGAACCTTGGCCACTCCCATCCCGGAAGCTCGGTCCTGAGCCGGAACATTCAGAGACTCCGGATTTGCTCCGATATCCCGACGGACCTCCGACATCCCGTGACATACCCTTAAGCCATTTCTCCACCCATTTCATTTATTTGAGTCACCCAACATCCTTCAGATATGCAACTCCGCTTTCGGAGTTACCCGCATCCTTCGGTGATCTCACTCACATCATCACTTATTAATCACCTTCCATTCTTAGCACAACTATCTTCTTCTTACCATTCAGTCAGCTAACCCCCCTTACCCATTTCTCGTTCCCATTCATTTTCCGGCCTCTTACTCCGCCCTCCTTGGTCCGACACCTCGGTTCCCCATTGAAGATATCGTTCAGCACCTTTCAGTACCTCTCGTTATCATTCAGCACCTTTCAGTGTTGTCCCATTGTCATTCGGACTTTGACTAAGTCCTTTCCATTCCCCTTTATAAATACCCGTAGATTAGAACCTGTAGTTCCTCAGTTCTAATCTCAACTAAAATGCTACCCAAAGTCCCTTTGAGTGAATCCCGTTCCTGTTCTACAGGATACCTCAGACATAAGAAATAAAAGGACTAACTGAGACGTAACAGAGGCACAGCGCTCCCTCCGAGTCGCTGAGGCCATGTCCTTCTTAGAGCCTCTTGTACCATCCAGCAGAACAGGGCTTCCTAGAGAAGCTTCGGTCCACTACCGGAGCTCTCAGATCCCCCTCTAGTTGAGCCCTGCCTGCATTTGGACTCACGCATTTACCCCTGTACGATCCGGGTTTTTGACAGTCATATATGCTAAAAATTGATGACACAATGAACCTTTGAATTATGCATCAAATTTGGTATTGCTAGCATTCCCTACTTCGGCATTTTCTAACGCAAGTGAAATCATGGAAAAAGACAAAGTTTTCGTGGAGGTAGAGCTGGAAGGTTATTGCACGATTTTTGAATTACAGGGTTTGCCAGGAATTATGAAAATGGCAATAAGCCAAGGTGGAGTCAATGTCCAAGGTTGGGAGCATGATGGAATCTCAGAGCAACAGTATGAGCAGTGTCTGAGTCAGGGTACAGACAGTGGCAGAAGGTCGTAACTTGGCAGAGGTTGGCAGAAGAGGGTCAGAAGGAGAGGAGAGAAGGGAGGAAGGTGGTGCCAGGTCCAAAGGTGGATATCAGAGCAGATGGGGGTAGGGTAGGACTCTGGAGGTGGTAAAGTGGAGGGTCCAGAAGTCGAATTGGGATTGGGTATGTACAGATATGACAAGTGGTGTAGGAGAAATAATGGTCACTCTATGAAACAACATCATGGAAATATGCCACAAGAATACAAAACCCCCTGTACAACAAGTAGAAATGAAAGATAGAAGAGTTTGAATTTTTATGAACTTTTATGACTTCATATGACAAATGTGAAGATAGAAAATTCACAAAAATACTTTGAGCTTAGCATCAATAAGATGGAATGCTTGGGAGAATTTAGTCAATCAGGTAAGATTTGACCATGAAATCAACCAGAACACCTCCACAGAGACCACTTTCCCATGTCCACACACTTAGGCAAGGCCAAAAGTACCACAGAACAAAGGTTCCAAAGGAACTAATGCAAAAAACTGGTGTTGTGTACATAATAAGGAATGTAGATGAATTAGAAATAGACTCAATAAAGGTGATTTCAGGAAGACTACCAATAGACAATGCAGAAATAGCCAAAATTTATTGAAAACAAGGATGACATTCAAAAATGAGCACAAAGGATGACCTGTAATGACTGAGACGAGTTTAATAGCTCATTGGAAAGGAAGAGATTGATTCTCAATGGATGCAAAATTTCACAGTAAAAGATTCATGCATCATGGAGATATTTAAAAAAAAACACTTAATGAAATTTACATGGAAAATATATTAAATCAAATTCTAATGCTATGCAAAATTTCAGGCCAATCGGCCCAACTGTTGTGAAGTTATAATAATGACAGGTATCTGTCAGGGCACATACATACCCTGACCCAGCCTGCAACACAGCCCACAAAAACTATCCATTCTTAACATCTGACTTGGTAGCGCCTATGGTGCCTAAACACGCCTGCAAGGGCAAGGTCGCATCTGCAGCAACGCTAAAAAGAAATGAGCAGTTTATTAAGAAACCGCAATCTCCCATCATGGGAGATTCAAACCAAAAGCCATCATCAGACAACGATGAGGATCAACATGATCCGGCAGTAGCAACCACCTCAGGGCTGGCCCCTGAAGGTTTTAGAAACTTCCGTGGAGTAAGTGTGGGGCCTAATACCCCTAGAACTCCATGACATACCAATCTAACCCAAGCTGGGGAAGATCCCTCACCTCCTCACGAGGTGATTGACTTGCATGATAAATGTGTAAGCGCCGAACGATCAGCCCAAAAAGCTGATCAGATAGAGTCGCAGGAAACTCCAGGGCCCAACTATCCCCTGGAGTCCCCCCTCATGTCCCCAAGTCAAGCCCCAAAGGCAGACAAAGGGAAACAAAGGGAAGAGCCCCCACGTCGGCTATCCGAAAAACTACTGGACTTGTTCCAGGTTCCATCCGAATGGAGGATGGAAAGCGAAGACCAACTTCTTCTCAGGCTGAAAGCCCGAGAAGGTGTGAAGATACGCCCTGAGAGCAGGATCTCCCAGAGCGCAAAATAAAGAGAAAGTGAAATAAATGAAGAGGAAGTGAAATGGAGAAATAAAGAAAGAGGAAGGGGGGAGGAGGTAGGAGAAGACTGGGTGGTGGGGTACCAGGTGAAGTGGGGCCAGGTGGGGCCGGGTCAGGCAGGTGTGCCCTCACAGGTACCAAAGGTCATAGGTCAGAACCTGTGGTACATCCGAAAGGGGATAGGGAGGGCGAAGCCCAGAGGGGCAGGAGGATGAGGTGAAGTGGGAAGATGACTAACTGGCTAGAATGGGAAGAAGCAGCAGTCCAAATAAGGATGAGGGGAAAACACAAAAGATACATTACAAGTGGTGAAAGTGCTGAGTATGATCTGTGGAGCTCAGGGGTTGCGGAGCTTACAGAGGTTACAGAGGCGGGGTTGAAAGTCTGGCAATGGTGTTTACATAGTATGAGGTCACCAATGCAATGGACTTAAGCTGAGGTGGAGTCAAAGTCCGAGGTCGGGACTATGATGGAATCTTGGAGTGAGGGTACAAGTGGTGTCTGAGTACAGGGTACAGGACAGCAGCGGAAGGTTGTAACTTGGCAGAGGTTTGGCAGAAGAGGGTCAGAGGGAAGAGAGAGAAGAGAGGAGTGGGGTGAGGAGTGGAGGAGAGGAAAGGTGTCAGGTCCGAAGGTGAGTATCGGAGTGGATGGGAGAAGGGGAGGAGAATGACAG